ATTCAGCATTAAATTGAATAATACCATTATTATAACCACCAGTAACTAACACTTTTCCATTGGTTAATGTAGTAGCTGTATGAAATTCTCGTGCTGCCTTCATACTATTGATTAACATCCAAGTTTGTGTTGATGAATCATACAATTCAGCACTGTTAAGTTGATTTGTACCATTATTTCCACCAGTAACTAATACTTTACCATTTTTTAATATAGATTCTGTATGATGATATCGTACACTATTCATATTACCAGTATTTGTCCAAGTTTCCTTTGCTAAATTATATACCTGAGCACTACTTAAAACAGAATTATTGTATCCACCAGTAATTAAAATATTTCCATTCGTTAATATAGATGCTGTGTGAGAATCTCGTGCAATATCTATAATACTACCATTTGACCATCCTAAAAAATATATCAAACATATTCAAAAGGTATCATAATCATAATCTCAAAGCATATTAAATTGTATTACCTGATTTGTATAAATTCGTTAAAGACAATAATAAACAAACTGCTTGCGGTGAACAACATGAATTGATGATACAAACAGAAGTACTTGATGCACATTCATATGTAATATTATTACATGGTTCCAAAATCGAACACGGAATATTAGGTGCACAGTAACTACTATTATTCAATGTTCGATAATCAAAATAAAGTGTTGATGATGAAATATAGATATTTTCATCATTCGGGAACACATTACATTGTGATACAGAACAATTCGATGTGGATGATGCTAATTTAATATCATTATCTTTCTTGTTACGAAATACATTCGCTGTGCCTGCAGTTTTACCTAATAGTAGTCATTTATTTTTATTGAGATCATTCAATAAGAAAAATTCAAATGTATATACCTTTCAAACACAATATAAAGATAGCCAAAAATAAGGTGACTAATAATCGCATGACAACTGTTTAATAGATGTTCTAATAGAAGAAAAAGAAAGATTTTATGTATTCTATCATATATCAGTGGTTATCGAAATAGAGCGAGTAAAAATCAAAGATCATTACATGAAAAAATTCAATTTTTTAAAACAAACAAAAATCGAAAAATATTGTTAAACTTCTAAATTATTCAAATAAATTTTATAACAAAAATATGTACTTTACTTTAATATAGTATAAAAGATAAATGATTTTTTTTACTCCATTTATTCATATTCTGTTATCTTGATTCACATCTTCGTTGCACAACTCTATGTAATTCCTACTGATAAGATCTCACTCGTCATATACTTTAAATAAGATACAGAACTATTGTTAATTTTCAAATAAATAGGTCAAAAAATTTATTTGTTACGATTGAAACATATTTTATTGTTGTTTCTTACTTGATGTTTATTATACGTTCTATATTTTTCTTTATATTAAATAATTTGAGTATAACGAATATAATAGTTACAAAGAGAATCATTTACATTTATTCACATTCTCATTCGTCATATATTTTAAATGTAAAAACACGAATTTTCGATCATTCTAATTAAATTATACGTGCTAACTGAGACTTTCTAGTATAAATTTGAAATATTGAATCAAAAAAATATTAAAAGCCTGCAAACAAGAGATATAGATGCATGAAATCTTCATTCGTTATTATTCTTAGTACCAACAATCTATTTTAGAATGGTAGAGTGAATATTTAACTCAAAATATCCGAATAAAAGGTTGTGAGCTTCTTCTACACCCGCATTCTCACTCACACCTTCATTCCAAACTGATGTAATATTATCTCTCCCTGATTAATTTCAATTTATTGTTTAAAAATATCAATAGCTTTAATACTATGCTTGATTCATTATGTAAAATTCTTCCATCAATCTCTTTATCAGGCGTGTTGCACGTCGACTTAATAGTAAGGTAGCACGAAAATTTGAAAAGAAATTCGAAAGGCCTATCGCATAGGAATGTTAATATACCAGTTTTGCCAATACCAGTACTATTGGTATTGGTATTAGTATTAAATATGTCAAAGTCAATAATTTAAAATCGCATGTATAGTTAAACCGCCAAATGTTAGTTCAAAATCCTATTCAAATGCCTCTAATCTGAATAGGATTTTGAACTAACATTTGTCAGTTTAACTATACATGCGATTTTAAATTATTGACTTTGATATATTTAATACCAAAATCAATACCAATACCACCCAATACCAATACCATCCCAATATCGTATTGGTATTGTGATATCCCTACTATCGCATTATACAATTCTTTTAATACATTAAGTTGTTTATTAATGTTTTTTCTCCTTTCTCCTCCTTGAGTTCTTCAACAAGTGTTTATATATACATTAGAAAACATTAAATAAAATACGTATCTTTTTTTCTTTTTCTTCACAATCTCAATCATTGTGGTGACTTGAATTCATTAAAAAATCAATTCCAATTTTTGGACCTCCCTCCCACGTTCTGATTTTTAATCTTTTTTTTTTCCATTACCGTTTGTCTATAATTGTTGATTTGTTCTTTGCTACAACTCTATTGACAGACGCTTGAGCATACTTATAACTCTTCCTTCAATAAAACCAGCATTCTGTGTGGATGAAACGTCTCATTTTTCTGAGCTAGGTAAATTTTTGAAGAAAAGTTAAACAAAGCAAACGTTATGACAATGAATGAAATTTAATTTATCAAATACATCTGTATGTGTCCTGTTTATAGTTTGTCTTTTATATTTATGCGTTTGACATCAAATGACTTTCATAATGCTACTGATAAGTACTGAAGTGTATAGATTTCTATTGTTTTTTTTTTATTTTTTTTTTTGTATTAACAGAAAAAAGTGGGTGTTTTAAATATTAAAAATGTCTGAGTTTTTGCTTTATGATCTGACAATTCTGTCCAATACATGTGAGAGAAAACAATCATAAATAATTGCTACGAAAGGAATAGAAACGAAAAAAACAAAATTTGTTTCTTTATATCGTTCCTACTGCGTTTTATATATACATAAAAGAAAGTGACCATGACTAATTGCCAAATGCGATATGAAATAATATTATTTATGTATCGATACAAACAAGAAAAAAAATAGGTGTTCACATTAAAAACTTCCACGTGTGTTTTTATCAAGGAAAAATATACATGACGAAGTTATTGTCTAGCAACACGGAATCTCCTTGAAGGAATTAATATAGTGCTTGTAACTATTAGAGATAATAGTGATAAATTTTGAATTGTTTGTACATTGTTATTTTGGTTATCATAATTCAGATAGTGTGCGTTGAAACCTTCTTCTTGTTTTGTAGATAATATTTTAATAATGATATTAAAATCATACAACGGCGTTTTGTATCCTTAACTCCCAAGGTAAAGAAAAATATCTTGTTTCTATCATATGTGACATAGCCTTTTATTCTATTGATTTAATTCTTTAACTATTTAGATATAGTTATAGAATTTGTAAACAATAAACACACAAGCAAATAAAGAAATCCGATGTAATAGTGTAGCTGTTAGTTACTCTTATTAGAGAGAAAGAAAATGTAGTGAGTACGATTAGCAACGATTATTGCTTTCAAACGAAAGAAAAGACAAAAACGCAATCATGCAGAAAAGGACGATAAATAACTATTCTATAGCATTCATGCAGTAGAAATAAAAAAGATATATGTTTGTTTAATTAATTCTTTGAAGTAAGTGTTTTTAACAATTAGACATAAATAATAAAATCATATTCGAGAATTTTATGATTACCTGCTGTACTTGAGAAGAGAATGAGTTTAGTATTTTTTTGAAATTTTCAGCTCAATCTATTTTTTTTCAACAAATCATTAAAATATTGACGATATTTCTTATAGTAAGTCTTAAATTGTTATTTCTGAAGTTTCTTGGAAAAATAACTCGACTTATTTTCATTATAATTATAGATGAGTATCAAAAAATATACATTAGAAAATAGAATATAAATCATAAAAAACAAAATCAGTATATTTTATGATTATGTATATGAATTCTAAGATGAATTTTTTTTGAAATACGTTATTCAGGAGAATTAGAAAGTACAATTTTGATTTTAAAATTAATCAATTGAGTATAAATTATTATATTTATTTTTATCTGCAACATATAATTGATTTAAACTCATTTCTAGTAAAGCTATAAGTAGATTAATAGTATTTTCTGATGAGCTCGATAGTTTCCAATGCAATAGTTATGTATCTAGATATATCAATCTGATAAGATTTTATATAATATACTGAAATTCAGTAGATCGTAATAGTCTATTTATTCCATTCAATTACTGATAGAAAAATGAATACTTGATATTGTTCAATCACTCGTTTAAAATAAGGAAAATTGTATTTTTTGAATCTTTTAATTGAAAACATCGGTAGAATAATAAACTTTTTAGTATTAAAACTGAAGTATCAGTATTTAATTTCGTTTATTCATTATATTATTGTAATCATACCGATAATCATCTATCTAATGCATTCCTTGATCTAGTTTAATTTTATTACATTAGTTCGATATATTACAGGTAGATTTAATATGAGCATGTTATCTACACCCGCTAGTTTTTAATTCAATAAAGGAAATTATGAAAGTACTAGGTTATATTTCCGATGAGGAGATAAATACAAACAATAGTGTAACGTTTGATACTAATAAAAATGCACCGAAGAAAGAGCGAGTATGACTGATGAATGTTTATACACATCCACACCCTCAAACTCAATGTTGCATTTATTCCATTTCTTGAATCAAAACTATATAATAATTATTTTTAGTTCTGTCGACTTACACTTGATGCTAATCATCATTATCTAATCTGTATAATCAACTACTTCCAACTTATCTATCATAATGTTTCAATCAGGCTACGATATTCGATCGCTATACTCACTCAAATCCATGTCAGTGTTTACTATTATCTTAATTATTGTGGGTACTATGATATATATCACACAAAGCCCCAGAATATTTAATCATGCGTCCAAAGATGATCTATTGCATAGTAGAATCTGCGGGAACACGAGTGAAAGCTACTCGGAATTTACAAAAAGCTTTTGTAATATGAAATTTTCAAAATCAGGGATAATGTCGGCTGAAAACAGAAACAATTCTTGGGATAATTATGCATTTTCTGGATTGAATTCGCTATTTCTTGGAGAAAATGGTTCACTAGAAACAACAGTCAGATGTGTTGGTTCTTTGCGTAATCAATCATGTCTATATAAAAACTTATATTATATCAATAGTACTTTCACGATGTTAGTCATTAAAGGAAGAGTTTTTCCAGTGCTTACTATAGTTCCGCATACATTCGAGACAAAAACTATTACACCAGCTCGCCGTGAATTTGATTCCTACCCTGAACTCGAACAATTTGTTCGTTATTCAATTGATCCTATAGTATTACCTGGTGTTACTACTCATTTCGGTTTTGACTGGATGGGTAACATTGGTCATTCACTCTTCGATGCATTATATCCTGCTTATGTTGCATTAATTCGTTTTCCACCCAGACATGTTCGACCATTTCGTATACTTGCTACACTAAGAGAATGTGATGGTTGCCGTGATGAAGAAATAGTCAATCGATTTGCTGGAGTTGGTCTTCTTAAACAATACGTTTTGAATGATATGTCCATTGGAAATTGGTTTGTTTTTGATGAACTTGTTATGGGTTGTGGATTATTATGTCAACGCTGTACACGACCAAATTTACAATTACCTGGTGGGGTAGAATTAGATGCTTCTAGACTTTTTCGTGATCGAATGTATGCTCAGCACGGAGTTATTCCACCACTTAGAAGACCTAGATCTTCTCGAGAAGGTCGAAATACACATGATGTTTTACGTGCTTATATCATCGAGAATAAACGTTTCAATGACATGGATCGAAAGGAAATAAAGGCTGCAATAGATGAAGTTAATAATTATACTCTCACGTATGAAAGTCAAAATATAACTAATTTAACTAAATTGAACTGGCCACTAATCAATGCCAAAATTCTAGACTTTGGAGTTAGACCTCAGAAGAAACAACAATCTCGATTTAATAAAACTATAACAGATGTTAGACCACCGACATATGAGTTGACAGAGACCCAATATACGGCTCAGTTAAGATTATTTCGTACAATAGATATTCATGTTACAGGTCCTGGTACAGGTCAAATGTATCAAACATTTTTACCAGATGGATCAGTAAATATTAATCTCGGTGGTTTGCAAGAATCGAGGCGAGAACATGGAAATATATCCTTTACAACATATATGGAACAATATATGACTTCTGGTGCACCTTATCTTAAGGGTCTCTATTATCCAATCAATGAACGACCCAATGGAATAAAACGAGAACAAGTAGTAAGACTTATTCGAGAAGCAGCCAAAATGATTATGGATGGCTTTTCTATACCAGTGAATCCAATAGAAAACTTAGCAACAGATGGAAAACTATATATTGAAATGTGTGAAAAAGATAAAGAATTTTGCAGTCTTACTACCGATCGAGCAGAAGGTGTTCCTTTTGGTTGTTATCATTTTTGGGTCGACGAAGTTATTCATGAACGTGGAGCATGGAGAAGTCAACGTAAACCTGATGGGACTATAAAATCAGATTGTCCATTCAATCGTACGTTATTATATGAACTAAGAAAAAAATATGATATTCATCATTATGACACACTGGAGACTAAAGAAAATATTACTAATATTAGTGAAAATGTTTAAAAATAAATATAAATTTGCATAAATCTATTTATTTGAATATATTACCATAAATACGAAGGAGTAATTAAAGAAAGACATCAAGTGATTTAAAATTAAATACTAGCAAAATTTAGAAATAAAATAAGTAAATAATTAAATAAATGAAACTAAAAGCAAAAATAGAATAAATAAAATTGTCTTAGTTTTTATTTCATCTAAGTAACATCAGTGAATTCTAAAACAAAAAATGAGCCGATTCAAAAATGCAAACAGGACTGTTGACAATTACATACCATTACAACATTTTAATTGTGGTGTTAAGAGATAAAATTTGCATTATTTCTCGATAATTATCATATCATATACACATTTTTATCAAGCCAAGTGATGAATAATCTTACAAATCATACAGAAGATGAATTAAAAATAAATTATTTTATTATTTACTCAAAAATAAAGCATTCGAGTAATATACTGCATAAAAAGTGTCAGAATAAAATCCACGGAAACATCATGTACATAGTTGAACTTTGAATTGAGATTGATCCATTATTTTATCGCAGGTTTATGCGAAGTGTAACATGCTGCATATTTTGTTATTTCACAAATACCTAAGTAAATACAACATAGAAAATTAATTATGTGTCTTTATTTCAAGAAAACCTTCTCCAGTCTTTGCTGAAGATTCCACATAGTGAACGGCACCGATCGTTCTGGCCATTTTTTGACACTCTTTGAATCGAACTAGTTCTTTTTCTATTGTCTGGTCATCTCGCAAATCTTTTTTGTTGCCTGTAAAGATCAATAAACAAATAACTATTCATAATGTTCTACTTACCAACAAGAACGATCGAAGCAAGTGGACAAAAATGTTTGCACTCGGGTAACCATTTCTGTAGAGGAAAGAAATCATGTGTTAACAAGATAAGTTTCTAAAAAGAAAACTGACATACCTCAGAGACGTTTTTGAAACTCTCAGGATTGTCGATAGCAAAACACATGATAAATATATCTGTCATTGGATATGAAAGTGGTCGAAGTCGATCGTATTCTTCTGATCCATTTGTATCAAGCAGAGTCAGCTCAAACTATAATCGATAGAGAAAATATTGAAGTCAATTGATTGACTAGCTTTTATTTTCACTTTTTGTTCATTGATAAATTTTTCAACAACATAACTATCGACGAAGGTTCTAGTATACGGATCAGACCATTTTTGTCCATCAATAGCTTGCAATAAACAAGATTTACCTTTGAATGTCCATTGTATTAATTTATGAAAAAGATGGGAAAAACGGAAATTCTTACCACAATCGCTATCACCAACAATAACAACTTTACGATGTTCATCATTACACGGCTTGTAAACCTTCTTACGACTCCAACACGACATTAGTGTACAGTAAAAAAATATTCTGCAAGAAAATAAAATGTGACACCACGTTGGTATCGATGTAATGAATCACCAATTTGTATTCGAGTTCTTTCTCTTTCCTGTATGTATAATGTTGGTACTTCTTCAGACTAACGACAGCTCTGTTCTGCTTGGTTATATATAGATGTAAAGAGAAAAGGATAAAAAAATGTATTAGCGGATTTTTTTCATCAATGAGAGTCATAGAATGAAAGATGGCATCTATTACTATTCTAACGAATAATCAAATAGTATAGTCTATTGCAAATAACATATTGAAATTTGACTATTGATATTGATTTATATGAACGAAGAAAAAATGAATGAGGTATGATTTACATACAAAAAGAAAAAAGAATAACAAAACCTATCAAACAACGTTATGGCGATGTGTAAAGGAGGAAGAAAAAGAAAAATGATGTAGCACGTGGCTGTTTGTTTCTTAGACGTAGTCTCGTTGACAACCTCATAAAAAATATATGATTTTTATACTTATATTTGTTACTGTTATTCTACTAATATTCTATTTCAAACAAAAATACTTTACTTTTCATGGATCTATACCCGGTTTATCACCACACTTTCTATTTGGAAATTTACTTCAATCAGGTTTTTTTAAAGGTGAATCTCCACCTTACATTTTAACAACATTCAGAAAACGTTTTGGTGATATTTTTCAATTTTGGTTCGGTCCTTTCCGATTTATTATTGTAAACAATATTACTGACGTCGAACATATATTCACTCATAGAAATATTTATGATCAAGGTGATATATTTATTGATAAATTTAGTATAAGCTATTCTGAAAGTCTTATTTCTACTAAAGGTTTGTCATGATTTTCTATTCGATTATATTATTTCAATATATAGCATAATCTTTATAGGCTCTAAATTCAAACGACATATTTCACTAACTTTACCTTTATTTCGACGAGGTAAAATCATTTCGAATTTAGATTTGATTATTGATTGTACGGATAAATTATTGTCAAAATGGCGTAAAGCTGATCCAAAATTGATCCATATCGATATTGTTGATCAATGTCAAAATCTTTTGCTTGCTATTTTTGGATTTATTGGATTTAATTATGATTTGGAAACACTCAATGATGAAAGTATTTCAAATGATATTGAACTCACTCAAGCATTACGAGACGTAATCAATAGTATCATGCCAGTTCTATATTTGCCTAGATTAATAGCTAAGATTTATGTAAATCTCAATTATCGACAACGGCGAGCACGAAAAGTTATCGAACAATATATTTATAAAATAATTGAACATGAACAAGAGACCAATCCAGAATTGATCGTACAACGGAAGCGAACATGTTTAATTTCTTCATTAGTTGGATCTTTACAAAGGAATGAAAAATTAGAAGCAATGAAAAATGAAGAACAAAAAAAAGGTATGAAGCAACACAAAATAATTCGATTTGAATGATATTAAACATCGATTACTTATTTTTTGCTTGTCTGCTGATAGGACTATCAAGAAGTGAAGTGGTGGATGAAATGGTAGCTTTTTTAGTCGCTGGCTTTGAATCAACATCATCAGTCTTAGCTTGGTTCATTTATCTGATGAGTAAACATCCAGAAGTACAACAAAAGATCAAAACAGAATTAATGAATAATAATAGTCGCCAGCATATATCATTAGATCATCTCGATTCTCTAATCTATTTGGATTGTGTTATCAATGAAGTACTCCGCTTTATGCCACCTGCTACTGGTACGATTCGTACATTAACTATGGATGATCGATTACCTGCAACTAATGTTCAATTATTCAAAGGTGAATCAGTGATGATTCCATTTTATAATCTCGCACATGACACTCGATATTGGTCGATCGATCCAGAAATTTTTTATCCTGAACGATTTCTAGCTGAAGACAAAAATCATCATCTTTATGCATTGATTCCATTTGGTGGTGGTCATCGACAATGTATCGGGCAAGATCTTGCTCGATTTGAACTGAAAGTGATTACAGCTCGATTAATGCAATATGTTACATTCAGTGATGGTGGTCCTCAAGCCAATACTGGTGGGCATTCAATGAGACTTGCTATCTTACCTAAACATGTCGGAGTATTCATTGATTTTGATTAACAGTTTAAGATATTTAATGATGTTCCTCATAGACAAAGTTTATTTCGAGAATAGAAAGAAAAGTGAAGACAATTTTTTGATATTATTATTTAGAAAATTTGATTTCGAATAAATTCAATAAGTCTTTGACTTAGTACATCATCAAGTTTATGAATAATTGTATCCGTTGTTTCTCTATTTGTACATATACTATTACTACGGCGGCGATTTGTTGTATTACGTTCACCAAAATGAATATGATTTTTATTCTCCAGTTCTTTTAAAATACCAGTAAGAATTAAACATTCAACACTATTAGGATCATTTGATAATTGATAATGTTCACATATTTGTTCAACTGCCGTTTTATTCTCTATTAAACATTGACATATTCTATTATCTCTTGCATGACTTCGCCAAATATCTAAACATAAATCAATTAAAGTTGATACAATATTTTTCCATGATGATATATCATGTGATCCTAAATGATCTATATGAGTACAAATTGATTTCAGTTCACTTATACCAATATCCTCTATTAATATAGATAAATCTTCTTTAATATCTTTATATTTTTTATCAGTTATATGTAAATCAGTAATCTCTCTGTTTGAAATTTGATGAACTGTAATTTCATTTTTATCATGATAATATACAGGAGTTTGTCCAGCATGTGATAACATTCGAATTGATAATGGAAAATGATATTGTTCATTATTTAATTCCGAATCATTGATAAAAACTTGTCGAATTGCATAACGTACTTCATTAAATCGTTTTTCAACTGATCCACCGATTGTAATTACACAATCATATAAACATGTTGATTCATTATTTTGAGTTTCATCTAATAAATGAAATAATTGTTGTGAAGATTGTTTATCAATTATATCTTTGAATACAATTAAATGCATTGATGTATATCTAGTAGAACCATCTTCATTACTACCACGACTTATTGCTTGAGTAATTAATTGTTGTCTGATCTGTTCATCATTATAACTTTCATTGTAATGAGCAATTATATAGTTTAATAATGTATCTTCATAAGTATTTTCATGATCCATTTCATATCGAATATATTGAGTTAAGTTTGGATGATAATTATCAATATACTTTTTTATATATGATAACATCTTCCGTGCATGTTCTCTACCAATATCAGCATCGAGATTATTTACTCGAACTGCAGCTGTCCAAGCACTGAAAAATGTCAGTACTGGAGGATTATTCAATATTCTTGTTGGAATATTTTCTTGAGTTGTTGGAAGTTGTTCAAATTTTTTTTGCAGTTGTATTAGACGACGTAATAGATCAACACCTGCAACAGCATAAGATGGTGTACGCAAAGAAAGTGAATCACTTGTTCCACCAAGTCCAGTACGAATTTCCAGTTTAAAATTTGGTTCAATACAAATTCTCATTGAAGTTATTAAAACATATTGTAATGAAGATATAGAATCTAATCCAATCATTATTTTTCTTGCATCATTAACAATAGCATCAAAACAATAATATATTTCGTTTTCTATACGTTGATAATCATTACATTGTCGTTCATTCCTATAGGAGTCACATGTTTTTTCCCATTGTATCTCGATTTCTTCATTAATTATAGATGATTGTGTCGTTGCATCTACAAGATATGTTCCAGGAACTTTCATTGCTGACTTACATCGTGCGATAAGATGTTGAAATAAAACAGATGCAGTGATCATTTTGAGTTATTTCTTTGCATATTATTAAGAATACAACAATATTTTTCTTTTCATGGTTTATATACATATATTCGATAGGGAAGAAACCATTGTTAAAGAAAAACCCAATGACTTATTGTGTATTATTGGTATTGGAATTATAAAATAGAAATGGAGAAAAAACCTATTATTAACTTGTGCGTATTGTGATTTATATGGCTTTTATCAATCAAATATGCGTAAAAGTAAGTTGGAAACATTTATTGTTATCGAAATACGTTATTCTATTTTTAAAAAAAAACAGAAATATTCTTATATGATCGATTGACTTTAACTTAGTGTTAAGATAAGTATTGAATACAAAGTATTTTTTTTGTCATCTTTTATATAATAACTTTGAAAAGAAGAGGTATCGATCGATACTTTATAATTGTGATTAAAATCATACAAAACAAGTATATTTTTCATTCGTTTCGTGTAAGACACGTTTTTATTGTTATGTTATTTCTATATTTAATCGCGATTTTGCAAATAATGAATTATTTGAATCGTAGATAAAAGAATGAATAAATGTGCGACATTCAGTTGGATTGCAGCTATGCGGTTTTTTCCCTTTCATATTGACTCATTTTCTTCCAAGTATCGTATTACATTCTCCTATAAATACCAGTGATATATTTTGATACAACTATTACATTTTGTTTATAACGTTGATCCAGTTTATGTATTAGTATGTATTTATAATTATATTATTGAACAATTTATTTTAATAGCTTCTTGGAATAAAATTTTGAAATTCTTATCTTTTTTTATCAAGGTTAAAAAAACGTTGATATTACATTAATATTTGATAAATAAAAAAAATGGTAGACATGATAAAAATATAATACTACGAGGGTTTATTTAAGTCAATTATAATATTGTAATAAAATGGTTGTCGATGTCTGGTAACTTAATTTAGGTCTGTTTTATTTTCTTCTGTTCTTTTCATCTATAATAAGAAAATATTGATGAATCATTGTCCTTTATAACGATGTAGTTGTCCTATTGCATCAGGTTTAGAGTTTCATATAAAAACCCAGTTAGAAATAATACAAAGCAGTTAATATATTTTAGATAAATTTAAAATGACTGATGAAACTATTAGTTCCGTTTCTTTATATACAAATACGGAAGAAAAACGTTCTACATTAAAACTTGATACGATAAGAAAAATTGAAAGTGACATACAAAAACAATGGTCCGATAAGAAATGTTTCCAAGTTGATGCTCCAACTCAATGGACTGACAAGTTTGTTTTTTTCCCATTATAAAATAAAAAAAAATATTTTTTTTTAATTTTTTAGTAAGGACAAATATTTTGTTACATTTCCATATCCTTATGTGAATGGTCGTCTTCATCTTGGTCATACATTTTCATTATCAAAATGCGAAGTAATTAATCTTTATTTTTAAAGAGAAAAATATAAATTATATTTATTTCAGTTTGCTGTTGGTTATCAACGTTTGAGAGGAAAACATTGTCTATTTCCTTTTGCTTTTCATGCTACGGGTATGCCTATACCAGTAAGTTAAAATGAAATTTGTTTTCTTAATTAAATCAAATTGTTTGTATAGGCAGGTGCTGATAAATAAAAACGTGAAATTGAAGAATTTGGTTATCCACCGAAATTTCCTGTTGAAGAAGATGAACAAACTTCTGGAACAAATGAAGCAAAAATTGAAAATAAAGCGAAGGGTAAAAAGGTAAATTATTCCATTCATTTGTTTGCAATTGGAAAAATGAATTATTTTTAGTCAAAAGCAGCTGCTAAAACTGGTTCAGAAAAATATCAATGGGAAATTATGCGTAGTATTGGAATTGAAACTGATGAAGAAATTAAAGAATTTACTAATGCACAACATTGGCTTCAATATTTTCCACCTCATGTTAAAAGTGATTTACAAAAAATGGGTTTAAAAGTATTCATTAAACTTTTTCTTTTAAAACAAAAGTAAATTCATTTACACATAGGTTGATTGGCGTCGTTCGTTTATAACCACTGATATAAATCCATATTATGATTCATTTATTCAATGGCAAATTCATCATTTAAAACAGAATGGTAAAATTCAATTTGGAAAACGGTAAGCACATTAAAAAAGAACAATCGACTTTTATTATTAATATTTAAATAGATATACAATATATTCACCCAAAGATAATCAACCATGTATGGATCATGATCGAAGTAGTGGTGAAGGTGTTGGACCACAAGAATATACATTAGCCAAATTATGTATTCAAGATGATTCGATTCCTGAAAAACTTCAGTAATAGAATTGTAACAAAGAAAACGAATTGTATATTTATTTTTTTTAAGAAAGCAAAATACATCGAACGGTGTTTATCTTGTGGCGGCTACTCTTCGTCCAGAAACTATGTATGGTCAAACAAATTGTTGGGTACATCCAGATATATGTTATATTGCTATTGAAACTAAAGATCATGGAATATTTATTTGTACACGACATGCTGCACGTAATCTATGTTATCAAAATTTTACAAGTGAACATGGTAAATTTACAGTACTCGCTGAATTTCTTGGTTCAGAATTATTTGGTTTGCCAATCAAAGCTCCTTTTGCTATTAATGAAATTATCTATGTTCTTCCTATGTTAACAATTAAAGAAGATAAAGGAACAGGTATTGTTACAAGTGTACCAAGTGATAGTGCTGATGATTACGCAGCATTAATTGACCTTAAAAATAAAGTTAGTTTATCTCTAAAAAATTCTTTTTCTTTTTTTTGTATAAACAAAATCTATAAATTTAGAAACAATTGCGTGAAAAATATTCAATAAGCGACTCAATGGTATTACCATTTGAACCTATACCTATTATTCGCATAGAAGGATATGGAGATTTATCAGCACCATTTATGTATAAAAAATTAAATATTCAATCTCAAAATGATCATGATAAACTTGCTGCTGCCAGAGATGAAATATATAAAAAAGGATTTTATGAAGGTGTTTTACTTAAAGGAAAATATGAACAAAAAAAAGTTTATGATGCTAAAAAATTAATTCGAGATGATCTTGTCGCTGAGAAATTAGCTTGTGTTTATTATGAACCAGAAAATAAAGTTAGTTTAATTATTTATTTATTAATGAAGAATTTATTTTTCTTTTCGAATAGATTAAATCACGTTCCGGTGATGAATGTGTTGTTGCTTTATGTGATCAATGGTTTATAGATTATGGAAATAAAGAATGGAAAGACGATGCACGTCGTGTTCTACAACGACTTAATGTTTTCAGTGATGAAACACGTCAAAATTTCGAAGGTGTATTTGATTGGCTTCATGAACATGCATGTTCTCGTTCATATGGTCTAGGAACAAAACTTCCTTGGGATAAACAATATCTTATTGAATCTCTTTCTGATTCAACTATTTATATGGCTTATTATACTGTAGCTCATCTTCTTCAACAACAAGATTCATTTGATGGACAAAAAATTGGTGAGTTATATTTATATTATAAACAGTACAGATATCTAACAATGTTTTGATTTATCAAGGTCCTGCTAATATTGATCCATCAGAAATGACAATTGATATATGGAATTATATATTTTTCGTTGATAGATCATATAGTTCATTAAAAACAAATATCTCAAAAGAAACACTTGATCGTCTTCGAAATGAATTTCAATATTGGTATCCTGTTGATTTACGATCAAGTGGAAAAGATCTTATACCAAATCATTTAACTTATTCTCTATATAATCATGTTGCTATCTGGCCAAATCAAGAAGAAAATCGATGGCCAAAAGCATTTCGTGCAAATGGACATCTTTTTTTGAATGGTGAAAAGGTAATCATTAAGTTTTTTTATTTGAATGAAAAAATGTATTTCTTTGCTTTTTACTAAAAAAGATGTCGAAATCAACAGGCAATTTTATGACTTTAATAGAAGCTGTTGAACGATTTTCTGCTGATGGTATACTAGTTTTTTTCATATGAATATTTATTAATTAATTAATTAAAATTAGGTATGCGTCTTACTCTTGCTGACGCTGGAGATTCAATTGAAGATGCAAATTTTGATGAAAAAAATGCTGAAGCTCAACTTCTTCGTCTCTATACATTTATTCAATGGGTCAAAGAGATTGTGAATATGTCTTCTTCTCAAACAACGAATCAGTCAGATGTTTAAGTAAGAAAATCCTAATAAAGATTATCCTAATAGCTTTTTATTTTAAATAGGAATCAACTGATGAAAATAAATCAAAGAATTATTTTGATCGTGTTCTTCAAAGTGAAATAAATCAATCAATTAAACTTACTGAAGAAGCTTATGATAATATGTTATATAAAGAAGTATTGAAACATGGTTTCTTTCAACTTCAAAAAAGTCGAGATAATTATCGTGAACTTTATTCAGAAACTGAACAATTAAATATTCCATTATTGAAACATTTTATTGAAATTCAAGCACTTATTTTATCACCAATATGTCCACATATTTGTGATTATGTTTATCAATTATTATATCCAAATAAATCAATTATGGAAGCTAAATGGCCAGTAGCTGGTGAAATTGATCAATCATTAATTGATTCTTGTGAATATCTTTTAGATACTGTACATGATTTTCGTACTCGATCAAAAAAATTTAAAGATCATAATAAGGCAACTATTTATGTTACCGCTAATTATCCTCAATGGCAAACATTTATTATTAATGAATTAAAAAATATTTATCAAGAAAATTCATCATTTCCAGAAACGAAAACCTTAGCATCACATTTTACAAATCTAAAAGGAACTGATGCAAAATATAGTAAAAAAATAATGCCTTTTGTATCTTATTGTCAAACATTAGTAAACGAGGCAAATAATAATATTCATATATTAGATCGACATTTAACATTTAATGAATATGAAATTCTCAATGATAATCAACAATATATTCAACGAGAATTAAAACTTAATGAATTACATATAATGAAAACTGATGATGCAATAAATATTAATAATTCAGAAGATATTACACCAGGTTCTTATAATATCATATTTATCTGTTAATTCATTTTGTTTTTTTAGGTAAACCACTTATTCAATTTTCTGCTGAATCATTATCAGCATTAAAAAATCAATAAAACGCAATGAAGCAATTTTATTTATTATTGACCAAAGTGCGCTTCTAAAAACTATATTTTAATCATTTATGTTGTATTTTTAGTTCTGCTCATTATTAGCCATGATATTAATAAGTTATTCTTATAACTCTAATAATAAATCATAATTCTAATATCTTTTCAAGAATATACGGGAATAATACAATAAGAAGAAAAAAAAGGATAAAATCTCTTGATTATAATCAGTAAAATAGTTTGTTCAAAATGCGAATTTATAGAACTAGACGCCATAATTGTTCGTGTTCTGGTAAATCTGATGAATGTTGTTCGTAAACTGGTAATAGAGTCTTTACGATTTCGACAACATCTTTGGCACAACCCCATGACAATGTAACACCTGCACCGGAATGACCATAGCAATGTACTATATCGATTTCGTCCGTAGTTCTTTCATGTTCGAGACGAACACCACCGTCTCGATAGGGTCGCAAACCAGCTTGCTCAACACCATCTTGTATTTGTTCAAGAGCTGGCAGAATTTTTGCACACATACGACGTATATGACGTGTATCTTGTTCTGTTGGTGTCGTATTCCAGTCGTCTAACTGAAAAGTACCACCCAACACCACAGTATCAGATTGTGGAACGATGTAACCTACGCCTTCGTTTACTGTCTCAAAATAATACACTGCTTTGATCCATGGAGCATGAATTCGAATAACCTAAACATTGATTAAATCTTGTAAAATCAAAAAAAGTTATTTTGTCTCACTTGTCCTCGTGCCGGTCGAATAGTAAGATCACCTGTTAGTTCTCTAGCACTCAAACCAGTACAGTTAATTATAATATCTGCTTCGCCTTTGAGTTCGCTAAATGAATGTATTTTCTTCCTGACGAATTTCACTCGTGAGTCACATTCCAAAAAGCGTTGTAGTTGCGGAAGATATCGTCGAACCTCGGTAACGACTGACGACATGACAAAGCCTGTAACCGGTCCCAGATGATCGAACATACGTATCTCAGGATCCTTCAATACTCGATAGTGTCGAACAAGTGGTAAAAATGAAGGAACGATAAAATCATCATTTTCACTTATCTGTTGATCGTTTTGACTTTTTAGGATGTGACCAGGCATTTGCATAACACCAGCTTGAGCAGCTTTTGTTGAAAAGAATTCTTGCATAAATATATCATAAGTATAACGAGCCCAACGTAACATCCGTTCATCGTTTAAGTTCACGCCGTATGGCTCCCAATACCCGGCTGAAACATCACCTGTTGTCTCCGGTGAGAATGTCGTACTGATAATTGTCAATTGAAGTTTGTCAATCGATGTATATTCTTTCAGAAGTGTACATGCTGTTGTTAAACCAATAATACCACCACCAATAATAATTACACGATAGCTACGAGAGTCTGACATACTTCGACGATGGATAAAAATGATTTAGTATCACCATGTAGACACATGTATAAAGTATCACACACAACAAAAGAAAGAACAGATACAAAATTAAGGTGTATAAACGATAAAAAATAGTATGAACGAACAATCCCACGTGCTTTTATAATAGGTGTGACTCTTTTTATCGTCGTATTACAATAGAAAAAGATAAAAACGTACAGATTCGAAATCGAAAGAACAAACTATCGCGAGAGTGTGGATATCTTTCGCTCACTCACACTTCTCTAAAGATAACGATGACCCATAAATTTACCTAGTAAATTACTTTTTAATCTTTATTGACTGATGATTTATTCTTGTTTTTGAAAATCTTCACTGTTTTGTATATCTTTTTAATGCTAATCAAAAAATACATTCAAAATAAAATGATCTTTTATCGAATCTTTTACAATTTCATCTAAAGGTAGAATATAAGTTTCTTGATATTTTCAAACGATACTTATTTCAGAAAAAATTTCTTACACTTGGGGTGAATGTGTGTAGTTGAAATATATACGTATTATTCGATCTATACTTTCATTCAGTAATGACTACTTATAAAAAGAAGTCTTTGTTAATATGCAAACACTATTTGATCTATGTGCCATTCTATTATAATCAGCTTAAATAATATTTTACTTTGTATATACTGCTGATACAGAATAAAAAAATTGCGGTAGGTTTACGAATGTGGAGTTGTTTAACTTTGTATATAAGTCAGATTACTTCTCTCATTTTGCCAATAAAAGACCATATTCTTTGATTACGACGTCACGTTGCAACTTGATGCCGCTGCTATTTCATCGATGTTGTTATCTATGATGGGATGAAAACTAATAATAAAGCAGTTGTGTTATTCTTCCTATTATTATTCATTCGAGAAAACCGAAATGACCTTTTCCGTGGTAAAAAATAGATTGTCTTCCGTTTTGTTACGTTCGTTGCAATTATTTTTTTCTTTTTATTTCTTTTATCTTGTTTTTATTCTTTTCGCTTTTTCTGTTTATTTATTCGTATTTTATTCTTATTTTCATTTTCTTTGTTCTTTCTTTCATTGGCAAACATGCAGCTTCAGGACTGGTGATCGATTTGGACAATAAGAGACATACATTATACTATCTTGAGGGTATGGCTGTAAGAATTTTCTTTATCTGACACCCTCAACAAACCAAATATTAATATACCAATACTTCGATAAAATCCTTGATGTGCTACGTATAAACAAAATTGTTATATATATTCCTGTTTGTACTATTCTCCTGATTGAATGATCTGTTTACTAGGGTGAAAATGTATAATGCGTATTATCATGTTACTAGTTGCTACATATTGGTGTGCGTGCGAATAAGATACAGACTCACTTGAAGAATTAATTACTAATATCAATAGATGCCGTTCGCTGACGGTAACTAGTTCGTATGTGATATTTATTGTATTCTTTGTACCTCTGAAACGTCATGCTGTTATCACAGACATGATTGGCTGTTTTTCTTATGTTTACTTTATTTGGTAGTGCACTGTTTTTTATTTACTATCTTTTCCATCATTTTAGAATTCTTGTGTTGTGTTATATATTTTCACCTATTTTGTAAAAAAACGTACGAACGTGTTCGTTTCACAGATTTTCATTCGGATACTATAATAAGCAGTACAGTGTATGCAGTTCTATAGTAATCTCTCTTTCCATGTAGTAGATATTAGTCCGCGATCAGTAATCTTTTAATCTAACGAGGGAACCTCATCAAGTGATACCCTCTGTTTAAGCTCATATTTTGCTCATAGGTAGAGCTCATAGCGTAGATAAAAACCCTAAAAGGATTCGTCCCATTAGCTTGTTCCTATAGAGATATAGAAATTTTAGTGAATTTCTCTTACAGGATCCCATTTTTCGAGTCAGATCATATTTTGGAATTTCGATCTGAAACTTTGCTCAAATGAAGATCTCAGGTAGGCTAGCTTTCAAAAAAAAATTTCAGAAATTTTGGGCAAAGTCTCTCCGAGTTATGAGTTTACAAAAGATGCATGTTTTATAGTATCTATGAAAAAACGCTTATAACTTGAGAAATTGACAGCTCGGAGAGACTTTATGAAAAACTTCCGAAATTTTTTTTGAAAGCTAGTCTAGTTGAGAGCTTCATTTGGACAACGTTTCAGGTCGAAATTCCAGAATATGATATGACTCAGAAAATGGGATCCTATAAGAGAAATTCACTAAAATTTCTACAACTCGACAGGAACAAGCTAATGGGACGAATCCTTTTAGGGTTTTTATCTACACTACGAGCCCTACCTATGAGCAAAATATGAGCTCAAACAGAGGCATCACTTGGTGAGGTTTCCTCGTAAGTAACATACGAAGCTTGATGCCTTTGTCTATCAGTATCGAGAGTGGTGTAGTTAAAGTAAGCATGTTATTCAAAATAAAGAATCATAAAAATGAAGTAACCTCTCTGACTCATAAAAAAGAAACATATCTCGCATTACTTTAAAAAGAAAATGTTTATCTATCTATCTCCACATCTATTATGTAGATGCATTATGCACTATCTTCTTCTTTTCTTTAGTATCATTGTCGCAAGGTGGTCGAAAGGTAAAATATTCTTTTCTTCTCATTCACTTTATAGTGGTGAGTTTCATTAGAAAATAATTTTGTTTTTGAATTCGTATGATAGTGCTAAAAACCTGTAGAAATTGCGTTTGACTCTCGATCCTCTGCATCTTTGAATACTTGCCTAATTAACTGACAATTGGAGATCGTTAACGAAAACCAGTGATTAACACGATTAATCACAAGTTCACATAGGGGTTTTTCGAAATGCCCAAAATCGTCTCGTTTTCGATGACATGGAAAATGAGTCAATCCATCGGTTTTCAAAGTCTGATGCTAGCAAATTCAGTATGAATAGCCCTTGAAGCGCAGCCAGAACATGAGTAGAAAATAGTGATTTAAATAATAAGAAGTATACTGTGAGTAAATAAATGCTAGTATAGAGTACAAAGAGTAGATTATAGAACTTCTCAAAATCTGTAGCGTATTTGCATTCTACTATAGATTTCTTATCTAAAGGCTGCAACATAATAACTGAAATTGACATCTATTGAAAAAATATCGGATAGTTAACAGTCTTAAAATTGCCTGACAGATTGCAAATGAGTTATTGTCTAGTAAAATAATTGTGTTTATCAGTAACCCAGAATCTATAAGTTTCTAAAAAAATTAGTTCTCTTTCTTCGCCATACTTCTAAGTAACTGAAAAAAATAACTCGGCGAATTTTTTTACAGAGAACAAACTTTGTCAAGTTTTATAAAAGTGTATTCGATTACTCGTTGGTAAAATATAACTGATTGTAAAAGATTTTCGAGGATTCAGGAAATGATAATCCTTTCTTGGTTTTCTACCATTGTTTGTTGTCTGATAATGTTATGTTATATATATAGCCTGTCAACAAATAGATTTCTCAATAATACCAATTCTTAGAAATGAATGATTCAATTATAAATCATTTGTTTCTTCCACATTACTTACCTTCATCAGCCGACGATGATTTTTTGATTGAAGGTGACCATCAAAATGAA